TTGCTCGCCTAAAATTGAAAATTTTTTGTTTTTTTGGAGACACCTTTTTAACTTCCCATGAAACCTCAAAAATTAATAGTAGAGTGATCACTTGTCCCAAGTGGCTCCAGTACCTCAACATTGCTAATTCTATCTGGGTCATTACAGAGCACCAAATCTAAAATTGCCTTCTCTCTTGTTGGTTTATTAACATACTGCACCAAAAAATTATCATTTATGACATCTAGAAATTCTTCCTCCCCCCCCTACCCTGTCCTTTCACCATTTCCCAATCAATACCAGGATAATTTAAGTCTCCCATAATAATAGTCCCTCCTCCTCTACAAGCTTGCATAATCCTCTTAAAAAGCATTTCATTGACTGTACTGTCCAAAGCTGGCGGTCGATAGCATACACCTATGTTTAAACCAGTCTCGTGTTTGCCAGTGAGCCTGACCCAGATATCTTCACAGGGCAAGGAATGTTCAAGTTCAGGAATTTCCTGCACATTTATGTTTTCGTTCACATAGAGTGCTACACCCCCTCCTCGCCTATTACATCTATCCTTCCTAAAGAGCTTATAACCTTCTACATTATATTCATCTCCATCCTCTTCACTAAGCCATGTCTCTGTAATCCCAACTATGTCATAGCATTCAGTAATCATAACGGCCTCAAGTTCTCGAAATTTATTTTTAATGCTTCTTGCATTTAGATAAAAACATTTCAGGTTATCACGATTTCCCATGTGCCTGCTGCTCAAAGCCCCTCACCACACTTTTTTGCTGTAAAAATATATCATCAATAATGCATGCAACGCTGTCAGCTTCCATCAGGGCAGTCTGCATTTCCCTCTGTGTAACACTCTCTAACCTCCCTGCCCCCCCAAGTCCCTAGTTTAAATAACTCTCTGCTACCCTCAACATACGCTGACCCAGTGCAAAGGTACCCCTCCGGTTCAGGTGTAGCCCATCCGGCTTGAACAGGTCACCCCTGTCCCAGAAGTAGTTCCAGTGCCCCATAAACCTAAACCCCTCTTTCCTACACCAGGTTCGTGGCCACGTGTTAAACCTCCAGATAAAATTCTGCTTCCCTCTGCTTGCACGTGGTACCGTAGAATCCCGGAGAACACTACCGTGGAGGATCTGCTCCTAAGCTTTTCAGCTAATTCAACAAATTTGCTTTGCAGAACCTCAAACCTACCCTTATCTATGTCATTAGTCCCAACATGGACCATGACAACTGGATCCCTCCCGCTCTGGCCAGGAGCTTGTCCGCCACGCTCCAGGAGGTCTCCCTACCTGGGCACCAGGCAGGCAACACACCGTCGACGAGACTCCTTGTCGCCACGAACAGACTGAACTGTCTATTCCTCTAAGTATTGAGTCCCCACTATCAATAACTCTCTTTTCTGAGGGGTAGAGGCCAACAGGGTGCCCTGCTGCTCATCAGTCCCCTCACTCTCAGGGTCAGGGGCAATTCGAGTTCCTGCAAGGGCCGGAATCGGTTGGACACCTCAACCACTGGAGGAGCTGTCGCTGTATGGTGTGCACGCCCTTTCCTGCGCTGGCGCCCTACCGTCACCCAACTTTCTCTCCCTACCTGCTCTGGGGTCCCCACACCACCCTGCTTTGGCGTACAAACCATTTCTCTAAACGACATACTACTTAGTTCCTCTAGGAACTCTACTGATTCTTGAACTATGTCGTGCTGCCAACTGGCCCTGAAGAACAAGGATTTTGCTCTCCAGATGCTCAATTAGCTGGCACCGTGACAGACAAACCCACCCTGGAAATCTCTTTCAAAAGTGCGATCATCCTGCAACCGTCACATAGTTTTGGCCACATTTTGAACCCCCCTACCTAATGACCTCGCTCACCCTAGATAACAAAGAAAATTACTAATGCCGAGACAGAAGCTCAGGAACCACAATTTATTAATTTATTAACCTGAGAAGCCCTAAGCAGCAGTCACAATAGAAACCGTGGGGAAACTATGTGAATGGATAATAAGCCGCTTTTAACAGGGGCTTAGTTTTAGTGAACAGAAATGAAATACCAACTCTGTCGATAATAAGCACTCCTAATAAGCCAAATTGAATTTATCTAGACCCGGTACTATTAATATACTAACCTAAAAGTATCACAGGGCTTAGCTGAGAACCCAGATAAAAAAAAGACTGGCTAAGTTACTACGCCCAGGAGAAACTGGAGGAGGTGGAGCACTCCGGTAAAGCTTTACGTTTAAATTCCAAGGTAACCGAATGGACGACTAAAGTGACTGCTGCCCTATTGACTAAATACTAAATCTCAGATCCCCAGCCAAAAAGCAAACAGTAACTATCTAGCTAGCTAGCCACCAATACAACCAAGGGTAACCGAAATAAGAGTTAAGCCTCGGTTCCCTTTAATGAAAACGGACCGAAAAAACAAGTCGTTTACTTTGTCAGCGAACTAAACACGGTATCTCCCCCAACAAGCTGTCGCTGAGCACTCAAACAAGCAGTTAAACTTTAATCAGCTGATCAAGGCACCGCAACCGAAGGAAAATACAAAGATAACGTAATTTGCAATGTGTTTAATCAGACGAGCCCTTCGATGAAAATAAAATGCGAAAAAGACAAAAACCTCAGTTCGCGTTAATGTTCAAGCTTGGCAATGCGTTTATGCGGTAATGCGGTCAGGATAGAGAACGAAGGGGAATTAATTGTACATTGTACATGTAGTAATTGTACATTGCCTTGTCCTTGCCCCAGGTGTGGCTGTGTGGGGGTAGTATAGAGGTGGTGCCATGTTCCAAGATTGCTCATATTGAGAGAGCCCACAAACCCTACCTGCCTGACCTAAGTATTACCATGAGGAGGAATGCACTCAGAGTGGCTGAGGTCTGGATGGATGAGTACAAGGACAATGTCAAAATTGCCTGGAACCTTCCATTAAAGGTTTGAACCCAATCCTATATTCATTATATTGCCCAGCTAATGTCCTTATGGGATGAAACTGTTCATATTCAGAAGTGTGCTTACTCTGATTAGTGGTTTTCTTGTTATTTCTTTTCCATATTCCCTTTAGCTCAGTTTTCTGCTTCTCTATTTCCTACCAGGATCATGGGATTGACATTGGGGATGTGTCAGAGCGAAAGCAACTGAGAGAGAGGCTGAAGTGCAAACCATTCAAGTGGTACCTAGATAATGTTTATCCACTGCTGGATACCTGGAGTGATTTAGTCGCCTATGGCGCGGTAAGAAACTTACATTCATATTTATAGTATTACTGTTGCCTTCAAATTCGCAAATTTTCTTTTTATTCTGAAAGTAGCTTTAGTTAAAATTTGGAGATACTGTTGATCAGGGATGGGAAAATCCAGTCCCGGCAGGCCACAGTATCTGCTGGTTTATGGTGTGTGTCTGCACGAGATTCATTGAATTACTTGATTGGATGAGTCCACATGTCATGTTCTGACAGAATTACAACCCCTGGCAAAAAATTATGTAATTGCCACACTTAGAGTATGTTTATCCAGCTTTTTTACTTCATAGCAAATAAACTGCAGATATGATTCAAAACAATTGGTTGATTAGCTTAACCCCTTAAGCCCTGAGTCCTTTTTCGAAAATGGCAAGCTCAAAATGAAATGAGTATATCTCGGCAACTATTTGATCCATTTGAATAATCTTGGTATCATAATAAAGGTAAAACCATTTGGGATTTCTGCCACGGTGTAAAAATCAGCGTATACGTCACTTAGTCAGAGTAAATGAAGATGGAACACAGTATAAATCAAAGACCTCATTTTGCACCAAACAAAGTTTTACTTCGATTCCTTGTAAAATTAATCAGTTGCAGTCTGAAACCTCTAAAAATTTACAGCACAGAATCTCACCATTATCTGTGCCAAAGTTTATTCCAATCAAGTAAATCAGAACACAATTAGAGAGGAATGTCTAGGTGGCTTCTCCAAATTGGCAATTCAGGTACTTTGTGTGCCAAATCAGATTTCTCAGATATTATACTGTAAAACTCATCGAATTTCACTTATATGTCACTACAGGCATACATTCCACCCAAATACAGCCAGTTTTTAATTTTTTGAATTTAGGAATATTTTTTTAATTATTATTTCTGCCAGTCCTATAGCCTATACCAGTGGTTCCCAAAGTCGATCCTGGGGACCCACTGCGTATGTCGGTTTTTGCTCCAACCACAATTACGATCCCAGAGTTTTAACAAGCTGTTCATTTTTAATTAGCAGTTGCTTGTCAGATGCGAGGGACATTTTACCCCTTTATGACAGAAATGGCTACGCATTCCATGAAATTTCAAAGCCCAACATTCATATTTTTTATTTTGATGTATTCCACGTAAGCACGATAATCAAAGGTGGCAGTATGTTTCATGTGATCAAATGCAAGACTGCAATCAGTCAGTAATCTGGTGATTAGGGTTCTGAATGCAGGTGCTCAAAAAAGTGACATTTAACAGGTTTGACTCATCGTTTGCTTTTGTCTTTGAATTCTTAATTGCCTAATAATTGTTAGCTTTAATGACCTTTTTTCCAAATTTTATCTACTAGAAGCCCATTTATAGATTCATGTCATCAGTTGCAAATTTCCATTTTTTTATGTTAGAGAAGTTTTCCAATTTAGCACCCTATGAAATGATTTTCATCATGGCCATTTTTGACATGTGGTTTAAAAGGATAAATAATCAGCGTGAACAAGAATAGTGCAATCAAGAGCAATGAGCAACTCATTAGCATTCTAAGATTGGAGCTTGGTTGACACAAAAACCTGCGTACACAGTGGGTCCCCAGGAAAACCACTGGCCTATACCATTCCATTCAAAGACAATAAGTACAAAAAAAAATGAAATTTGGCTCCTCTTGAGCAGATTTTTTTTTTTTTTTTTAAAAGCAAATTAATAAGATTATGAATACAACGGAAAGGTTAAAAATGGGAAAAAAGTCAAAAGAACAAAAACCCATCAATTATTTGTACATGAAAAAAAAGCTACTACCACCCATGCTGACTGGGGATTGAACCCAGGTCATCTGAGTTGCATTCCGATGCTTTAACCCCTATACTACATCACCTAACAGACAAATGGTGTTCAATACAAGCAAGGGCTACGTTCACACTGCAGGCAAATGTGGCCCAAATCTAATTTTTTTACCCCCTTTGTGACTCAGGTCAGATTCTTTTATGACAGTGTGAACAGGACAAGCCACATGGAATCTGATCTTTTCAAATCCGATCTGGGCCATTTCCAAATGTGTTACTGCATCGGATTCATATTGGATTCTTTTGAAGGCGACCGCGGTCTGAACAGCCGTGTCGCGTTGAATCAAAGAGTATTATGTGAACAGCCAAACAAAAAATCCGATTTGAGCAATAAGTCGGAATTCAGCATTAAGGCCTGCAGTGAGAACATAGCCCTCAGTTGAGGTTCACGACAGTTTCAACTGATTTTTGACAGTTGGAATTGTCAGGACGCTCTGGATTGAGCCGTAAAGTAAGGGTTTGAAAGCCAATGGGGAGGGAAAAGGTGATTTTAACCATACTTTGGGGTAAAGTCCTCGAACTGTTAGTTTTTTTTAAAATCAGATTTGACTGCTGATTGGACATGTGTGGGTTTATGTCTCTGTGACCATTAATAGTGAAGTTATGGTTATTGCCCTATTCAAAAATGATTTGATACTTTTATTGATTGATGAAGGCAAACGCACAAAAAGAAGATTTAAAGATCAAAGCCATTGTCATCGAAGTGATTACTGAAAACAAACGAGGTGGAGACAGACTAAAGCGTTTACTACAGAGAGAATTATTTTGGATCTATAATTTAAAGGCCATCATCAAACCAGGTTTAAACGAAGAGGTAGATCTTTCACCCTTTCTTTAAAGTTTTTTTTATTACTTACCATACTATGGCCGATCCCAAGCTATTTTAGTTCCAGTATTTCTATTCTATACAGGGGGTTGTGAGGATCCTTATTCAACTATCTATACTGTGGGTCATACTGTGTATTATTTTTCTTTATACTGGCGCCAGCGGTTTGTTTTTTATCCTTACTCTTTATGCATGTTCTTTTGCATTACACATTGTTGTTATATCTTGCCTAATATCTCTGTATGACTTCTATTGTCATGTTTTGTACTTATTGCCTTCTTACTCGGTATATTTCTTGCTCTCGTGATTGACATTTTGCACAGACCAAAACGTGGATAGTTGATACTGTTTAAGTGATAATGAGAATCGTCGTGGTCACTAATTACTTGCACACCTAAATGTTTTGTGTACGCGCATTGTTTTTTATAAAGGTAAATCTGGTTATGTATTGTAATTGTCTCTTGCATTTATTGCCTTCTTGGTTTATTAATTGCATGATTGAAATGATGCATCTGACCAACACGTGTGTAATTGATACTGTTTGAGTGATAATGTGGTTACTAATTATTTGCATGCCAGCTATGCCCTTTAAATGTTTTGTATTTGCATGCGCATTGTTCTCCCGTGAAGGGAGATCTATTTTTTGTATTGCATTGCTTTATTTGATATATACTCAGTCAAAAAAGAAACTTCACACTCGTTTGGAGGTCGATAAGTTGAACATACAAGAAAAGTGGTTTTAAATAATGATTTAATTCCATGCTGTACCCATTAAGGACGGTGTACCATAAAAATCATGTTCATAATGTAACCAGTTCCACCGAAATGCTACGGAAATGTAAGAGAGTAAAATGGTAAGTTACAACTTGATGAAAGCATGTCAATAGCGCCGTATGCCCTCCATGAGCGTTCACAAACTGCGACGCAACGTCTCCTCATGGATTGAATGATGCGTCTGAACACAGCTTGGGGGATGCGTCGCCATAATTGAACCAACATGGCACCAAGTTCCTGCAAATTCTGTGGAGGGTTCCTTACTTGACAGAGTCTTCTGCACAACACATCCCATACATGTTCTATGGGATTAAGGTCGGGAGACCTTGAGGGCCGCTCCACGACATTGATGCCAGCATTCCTAAGAAAATTCCGCGTTAAATTGGCCGTATGAGGTCTGGCATTATCGTGTTGGAATGTCAGACCTGGGCCATGAGCTGCCATGAATGGCAAAAGCTCTGGAATGAGCACTTGATCTCTATATTCTGCAGCAGTTAGGTTTCCTTGAACCACCATCAGTCGGGAACGGGCAGGACCATTAAAGGCACCCCAAACCATAACACTACCGCCCCCAAAATGGTCCACTTCCTGCACACAACACTGGGCGTTGCGTTCACCGCGTCTCCTCCAAACTCTAACTCTCCCATCAGCGAAGTGCAAAGTGAATCTGGATTCGTCACTAAAAACGACCCTATTCCAATCACGCTGAGTCCATCTCAGATGTCGTTGTGCCCAGAGAAGCCGTTGACGTCGGTGTAACTGGGTTAAAATTGGTCCACGATATGGCCGACGTGCATGGAGACGAGCAGAGCGCAGGCGATTACGTATGGTTTGGGCGGTCACACGACCTGTAAACAATTCATTCCTAGTGGACGTTGCAGTGAGAAATCGATTACGCAAATGACGTAAGACGATTTGTCGGTCTTCTGCTTGTGTCGTCACACGTGGTCTACCCGAACGAGGTCGGTCTGCTGTGGTGCCAGTTTGTTGGAGACGTGTCCGAAAAATCATGGATAGTCCGTCGACTGCATCCCATAACCCTGGCAACGCCAGTGACCGACGTTCCCGATTCAGCATGCCAATGGCACGTTCACGTTGAATGTTTGACAGTCGTGTCATTGCAAATCAACGGATAATTGACTGTAAGAACTTGTTTTTCCGAGATGTCACTCTACCATGCTAACGTGGGCTCAATTGCACGTGTCTCATAAGGTCACGCGACTAGGAACACGAGGAAACATGCTTTTACCTTGATGTATGCTCGCACGTGCTGCATGCTTGTGCACGTCGGAGTTGCTGTGTGTCATGATGTCTTTGACAACGCATTTACCCCTAATAATAATAATAATATCTCTTGTATTAAGTTTCAAGAAAATATTTAGAAATTTATGAGTGTGAAGTTTCTTTTTTGACTGAGTATATTTTATTCTATGAGTTGGTGTAATTGATATTGTTTAAGTGACTAATGAGAATTGTTGCGGTCACTAATTACTTGCATATCATCCACACCTTTTAAATGTTCTGCGCTTGCGTGCGCTAATTATTCCCTGATGAAGGCAAAGCTGTTGCCCAAACGTGTCGGGTTTCTAGCCATGTTGTGATAAAGGCTTTTTAACTTCAACGGAGACTTGAGTGCCTTGTGGCCCATTCTTTTTAGTATGTATAATATATTTGGACTTCATACAGTTTTAAAATGATTGTAGGCATTATGTGAAATAGAGCTAGAAGCCAACCACATTTAAAAGTGCTGCAATGGGGGAAAAGTTAAGATAGTGATAGACAGTTATCTATTGAGCAAGCCCATGTCTCTCAGTGCTCTGGTTGGCTAACGGTTAAGTGTACAATATGATGATCAAGGTTTTGTTTATTTGTTTTATATACCGATATATTTTGAGCACAGCGTATCCAGCCACGGTGATTATACTTTCATGCGGATCGATATTTAATCCTCTGAATTTTAGTAATTTCCTCTAGCAACACAGCAGGCAAGTCTCATGGATCCATTGTTTTGGTCTCCCTGTGCTCTCTGCTGATTGGTTTCAGAAAAAATTGAACTTATTGGCTGTGTTAAACAGAGGGCAGGGCTCATCATCATCTGGAAAAACGCCTGAGTAGCTGCGTTTCATGGATGCTTATGACGATGTAAAAAGCGGAGTTCAAGTTCCTTTCTAAAACAGGCTTAAAAAACGGGCGTTTATTAAGGCACTTTTGTCGCGTAAAAAGTGGCGTTTCCACAGCTTCCGGCCGTTTTTTACGCCGCTTTATGAAGAAACGCGCGTTTTTTGTTTTTTTTTTTTTAACGGCGTTTTAAGATAAGACACGTGGAATTAGTGGCGAATTGTGACACTTTCGCCTTTCCATAGCCAACTGTTCTCTGTTTAGGGATTCAGGTTTGCGGACAAGTGAATTACTTTGTATTCATGTTCACTAAAACAATGTTTACTACCACAGCAAACAGCTGTAGCGAGGTGCATTGTCATCGCATATGCTCCTATTTATTTTCACTACGTTTCCCGAGGCACAGTTGCGACCTATGTTAGCAATGTAGCTACATGGTCCGAACCATATTCTATCTTATACGGTTCTAGTTACACTTCTGGGAACAAAACATTCATTGGCTCAATTACTGACTATGAGCGATTTTAAATCGTATTAGCAAACCTTTCTAAGGTAACGTAATGATAAACTGAGACGGCATTCACAATGATAGATTGCGGAAGTATTAAGAAGAATGTTTTTGTAACTTAGCAACAGTAAGCGCTTGAGAGAAGCGCTCTGAAAATGAGGTCATGGGTGCTTTCAGTGCAAAAAACGCATCCTGTGGACACAGGCCCTAATGATTTTCCACATTATTTTATGGTATCTATGGCAAGTTTCAGGTCTCCTTCGATATATCATGATGTTCATTTTTGTAAATTATGGTCCCAAATAGACTAGAATAAAGGATAATGCTAGAATATGCCTTAGGGGCGTGGCATCCTCTGGTCCTCATCGAATACGGTCAGATCCACCCGTAGATCCACCCCTCGCTCCTCCCTGGATCTTCAATTCACGTTCTCATCCAATAGGAATCACAACCGGTTTCAAAATGACAATGGCGCTGTTGAAATATCCAAAATCGAGGCTTTGTAAATGGTATGCTGAAACCATAGAGATATATATCATGGGTTTGGAGCACAATGGTGATATGTCCAAATTTTGCAATTTTGAGATTTTTACCTCCTGTCACACATTTCTATCAGCTAATTCTTGGAGCACAAAAATTATATGTCCATGCACCTCAGTTTTAAACAGAATTCACATTTTCATTTTGTGGTACGTCCAACAAAATCTGCTTATATGAATTAAATATTGATATTTTGATGAATAAACATGAATAGTATTACAGAATCATCTGTCTTCCATTGCAAACAAACTTAACTTCAATCTATC